GGCCTTCTCCCCCTCCTCATTTTTCCTTTGATTATAAAAATGTTGTTGTTTAGCCGCTAAGTCATGTCTGACTCTTTTGAGACACCATGGACTGTAGCCCACCAGGATCCTCTGTCCATGGGATTTCCCAAGTAAGAATACTGGAGTGGGTTGCCATTTCCTTCTCCAGGGAATTTTCTCAGTAATGATATTTAACCCATGTGTCCTGCATTGGCAAGTGGATTCTTTACCACTGAGCCACCAGGGAAGCCCTATAAAAATGTAGCCCACCTAATTCTTGGGGCAGCACCCTCTTACCTGGCTGCTTGTATCACAAGTATCTGATATTATTAATAAATTTACTTTTTGCCTATCACTTTGCCTCTTGTTGAACTCCTTCTGCACTGAGACATAAAGAACCTGAGCTTCGTTAAGTTCTGAGACCAGGTTTGCAATTTGAGCTGGGAGATTTTGGGTTCAAGTCCCCTCCTAAGCCAGAGATACAAACAACCAAAATACAAACAGCAACTAACTTGAGACTCTGAAAAGCAAGCAATGCCAAGTAGACTTTGGGGGTGAGGGTGGTAAAAACTTGAAGAAACAACCCCAGTGAGTTTCCTGGTTTAATGAAGAACACAAGTTACTACACGAAAATCAACTGTAATTTTATACACTATCAAACGATTAGAAATCAAAACATCAACATCATCCTGGATGATCCTCATCCACAACAACCTGGATGAATCTCCAGAGAATTATTTTGAGTTAAAAAAAAACCCAGTCCCCAAAAGTTACATACTACATGATTCCATTTCTATAACATTTTGAAATGAAAAAAATTAAAGAGAAGAAGAATAGGTTAGTGTTACCTATGGTTGGGAATACGGGGTATGGGAGAGGAATTAGAGTGATTATAAAGCATGAGCATGAGGGATCTTTGTGGTGATCAAACATTTCTAGATATTGATAGTGGAATAGTTACATGAATTTACACATATGACAAAACTGCACAGGCCTACACACATATACAAATGAGTGCATATAAAACTGGAAAACACTGAATAATGATTATATCAATATCAACTTTACACACTATATTGTACTATGGTTATACAAGATGTTACCATTGGGGAAAACTGGGTGAAGTCTAAAATTTGCAATTTTCTATGAATCTATGATTATTTCCAAATAAAATGCTTTAAAAAAAACCAAACTATCCAGGCTTCTGTTCCAAAAGTGCCAACAGTGTGCCATCAAGACACCAGTCTCTAAAAGAGACAGGAAATCATATTGGAGCTCCCTCTTCACAAAGATGGTCTGCAATCCACTGCTTGTTCTCTAGTCAACATTTACTGAGTGTCAGCTGGGAGTCAGGCCTTGTGTTGGAAGCTAAGTGATACAAAATGAATGATTTATGATCCATTTCCATGCACTCCCAACCTAATGCTAATTGTTGTTCAGTCACTAAGTCATGTCCAACTCTTTGTGACCCCCTAGACTGCAGCACACTAGGCCTCTCTGTCACTGTCTCCTGGGGTTTGCTCAAGTTCATGTCCATTGAGTCGGTGATGCTTTCCAACCATTCAACGCTAATAAAAATGCCTAATATGATAAGAGCATTGGACAAGGAAGTCAAAAGAACTCTGTCCTCCAAGAAACACTTACTAGGTTTTTGATTTTGAACCAATCCTTTGCTCCTTGGTATCTTGACTTCTTGACCTGCAAAATTTAAGAGAATACATGTAGATATACATTTTAAACATAACCTCAGTCCTCTGGGTGGGTTCAGGGAAACCTGAAATTACCCAAAATTGTATGCAGAAGTATATAAGTACATCCCTCTTCTAGAAGAGATATTATAACTCTTTTAAAAAATAGATTTTGGGGGCTCATTGACTCATTAAAAGTTTAGAATAACTGAATCTTATTTTTGGATTTAATCTCTAAGGTTCCACAATTCCAGTAGTTCTCTGAGATCTCTCCTTCCATCTCTAATAGTCTGTGGTTCCAAGAGGGATGAAAGAAATGGGCTAGAACTCTAACATTTGGAATTCCTAGTACCACAAGAGTTCGCTCCCTTCTGCAAGAGGACAAGGATTCAATTTTTCAACATGGAATTCTAGGCTCTTTAGGATTCAACCTCTCATTGATCTTCCAACCTCAGTTATCACTTCCCAAGACCCCACCTCAGCCTAGTTTCCACAAAGCTTTGCTCCCATTCACTCTATGCCTTAGTCCACACAGGGCCATCTGCCTGGAACACCCTTAATTCCACCCTTTTTCTTCTTGAGTCTAGGTTTAAAGGTCCCCTTCCCAGTGAAGGCTTTCCAGGACCTCTCATCCTCACAACAGGCTTCTTAGCCTTGGATACCCACTGCCTGTTACCACACAGGAAACAGGACTAATGGTTCTGGTTCAGGGCAGCAAACCCAGCCACCAAGCGTCATGGCAGAGGAAGTAGAGGTTTGAAGCTGGTAGGTATAACAAACCCTAGGCCCCTGTTTTTCCCATTGCTGAAAAGACAGAAAAATATCAGCTTCTAGGAAAGCGACAACCTGAGGGCAGTAGTAAATGAGCTATTCTGAATGTTGCTGTAACATGAAACAACAGTCTACTTCAAGGAACGAGAGGGAGAGGTGAGGACTAAGGTTGACTGGAAAAGAGTACCTTGTCTAAAGGAAGGAGACCAGCTCCTGCTTAAACATTAAAGATCCATTGTGAAGACAAATTTCAAGGGTTTCAGGCTGTGAACACTGTTCTGTGAGGATCTACTTTAATTCAACTGCAAGAGCACATCCTACAGGGTAGGCAAGTTTTATACCAGGGCCACTGGCATGTTGATGGTTGTCAAAGAGGCCAACTCCTTCTGTGCAGAAATCAAAGGAACTACAAGGGTTATATAAAACCTTTCATAAAGGACCCCTGTCTTTCTGTTTCCTTGTCTGTAAAATGGGCATGATTGTGTGCATGCAGTCGTGTCTGACTCCTGTGACCCTATGAACTGTAGCCCATCAGGTTCTTCTGTCCCTGGAATTTTCCAGGCAAGAATATTGGAGTGGGTTGCCATTTCCTTCTCCAGGGAATCTTCCCTCTTCAGGGATCAAATGCTGATCTCCTGTGTCTCACGCATTGGAAGGTGGATTCTTTACCACTGAGCCACCTGGGAAGCCCTTAAATGGGCATGTGAGTTCGCTTGTGTTTGCCTAATCGCTCAGTCATGTCCAACTCTTTGCAACCTCATGAACTATATATAGCCCACCAGGCTCCTCTGTCCATGGGGATTTTCAGGCAAGAATACTGGAGTGGGTTGCCATGCCCTCCTCCAGGGGATCTTCCCAATCCAGGGATTGAACCCTAACCCAACCAATGGATCTTCCGCATTGCAGGCAAATTATTTGACCTCTGAGCCACCAGGGAAACCCTAAAATGGGCATACAAAACATATTTGAGAGCCAGCTGTCAAACAGAATACACTACCACTTACCTAAGTGCTGTCAGAGCTACATGCTTTTATCTACATCATCTCATTGAATTCTCCTTCCTAATGAAGTAAGTTCTAGTACATCCACATTTTACAGATAATGAAGCTAGAGCTCAGAGACAGCAATTTACTTAATGAAGACAATCATTTAAAAGGACTTTTCTTTCCCTGTGGCTCAGACAGTAAAGAATCTGCCTGCAATGCAGGAGACCCAGGTTCGGTCCCTGGGTCCGGAAGATCTCCTAGGGACGGGAATGGCACGCCACTTCAGTATTCCTGCCTGGAAAACTCCATGGACAGAGGAGCCTGGCAGGCTACAGTCCATGGGGTCGCAAAGAGCTGGACACCACTGAGTGACTAACACTGTCACTTTTTCCCAAAGTCTTTACTATTTAATCCTCTCAACAACTCTGGCAAATAAACCCTGCAGAGATTTCACCAAGGCATCCTGACTCCCACAGGGTAGCGTGCTTTTACTGTTCAACGAATATATAAAGAAAACCATGTATGGAATGCAAATTTTTCTGGCAACTACAATTTGAAAGTAAAATGAGAGACATGAATTTTAGCAATATATTTTATTTGACCCAATATGTGCAAAGTATTATCAATCCAACGTGTAACCAATATAAAAAATTATTGAGATATTTTACATTACTTTCTTTTCATACGAAGTCCTGTGTGTATTTCACAGGTCAGCATATCCCAATTCCGACTTGCCACATTTCAAGGGCTCGTAAACACGTGGCTAGAGGCCACTATATGAGGCTACGCATTAGTAATCCTAAAGTTAAAAGCAGAACCCACAAAGCCACCTGTCTCTTGGTTTCAGAAGACAGGCATAATAATAATAATAACAAAGAGTTCTTGGGCATTTACTCTGCGCCGTAAGACGGCCAAGTTTTATTACTACATGTGTAGAGGACCTTGTACACGTAATTCACCCGCAACCAGGTGAGTGTACTACCCTTCTCTTTCGAATGAACCAGAGAACTGTCCCGAGTTGGGCCCTCCCCCAGTGCCTGACCACCGTCCCGTTGTCCTGCCACCCGCCGGGCGCCAGCCAGCGCAAGTCCTCGGTTCGCCGCCATCCTAATCAGGGCCAAGTACAGAGGCGCGCTTGCAGGGGCGGACACAGGTCACCTGCAAGCTGAAGCGATCAAGGCGGGCCAAGACGATATTGGGCTCCTCCTCCGGCTTGGGCGGTGGCTTCGGCACCTGCTCCTCCTCCGACCCCTCCTCCGGCTCTTCCTCCAGCTCCTCCTCCTCTGACTTCTCCCCCTCCGACTCCGATTCCTCCTCTGACTCCTCCTCCTCCGACTTCTCTTCGAACAGGTGCTCGGAGGTGCCACCATCCGGAGCCAGCCATGGTGAGCCAAGATTGGTCTGTAGCCCCTCAGGCGCCGCCACCTCCAGACCCGACGTGGGAACGCCAGGCGGCGCCGCTTCCGGGAGCCCAGATCCGGCTTCCGGACTCTCGTGCGCCGAGCTCATCATAGAGGAGCCAGCGGGCACTCCCACTTCCGGCCGCCCCAGGCGCTTCGCAGGCTCTGGCAAGCTCGGCGCGCCCTCCGCCCACCTCCGTCAGGGTCGCGCGCTCCGCCCAGTAGGGGAAAAAGTCTCCTTTGCCCCGCCCCCTTGCAGACGCAGAGCTGAGCCAACAACGGCTGGACAAAGAGTGACGTACGGGGCCAGAGTCATGGCGGCCACGGAGCAAAGCTTGGCTCCAGCCGGAATCCCCGCGTCGCCCTCGGAGAAAGAAGAAGGAGCCGGCCCGAGCTCATGCCCGGAGCGTGACCCTGCGGGCTCCTCCTCGACTCCTGAAGCCCCACTATCTATCCCCGACTCCTCCAATTCCAGCGCCGCGGTCCCCGAGGCGAATGTTACGCCTCCTGCGGCGGCCTCCGCCTCCCTAGACCTGCCTGTCGGACCCGCACCCCAGGGCCCTGCGCCGCTTGCCGAAGCTTCTCCGCGCTCCCCTCCAGGTCCAGGCGGCTCCCGGCCCGGCCCAGAGACTTTCCGCCAGCGATTCCGGCAATTCCGCTACCAGGACGCTGCAGGCCCACGGGAGGCGTTCCGACAGCTTCGGGAGCTCTCCCGCCAGTGGCTGCGGCCCGACATCCGCACAAAGGAGCAGATCGTGGAGATGCTAGTGCAGGAGCAGCTGCTCGCCATCCTGCCCGAGTCGGCGCGGGCGCGGCGGCTTCGCCGCCGCACCGACGTGCGCATCACCGGCTGAACGGCGGAGCTGCGGGCGACCCGAGTCAGGCACTCTCTGGACTGGAGCCATGATCAGGTCCGGGATCGTGAGCCTGGCTCCCCAATACGCGATAATGAAAAATGAGTTTTGGCGGTTCTTGCAATCTCGTGTGTCCTTTCCGGTGTTTAGTTTCCCGAACCTATTTCCACTCTCTCTGGCTAGTTGTGAAACCAAGTTGGGGGCCCATGAGAATAAAGCGTTTGTTTCTTACTCACTTGGCCTTCGTTGGCTTTTGTGGGATCATTATGTGTTGGCTATGGGTCGCCACATCTGGGAATTTTTTTCCTGCGCGTTCCCCAGCGCCCCACATGGGTTTCCTTTGTTTGGTTGGAGCCTGTGCAATGAGGACTCCAGCAGCCTGGTTCCATATTCTCCCGTACCTCTCATTGGCTAGAATTTGAGCTTGTTTTCCTACCTAAGCGGATAGAGGACAGTGGTACTATTGTATGTGGTTGTGGATCGTGCAGGCAGATTGGTGGCTGTACTAAGTGCTGATTTAACTGGCTGCTGCTGCTACAACAATACTGCCCTCAACTTGCTTCATCAGCCTACCTTGTCTGCGCAGTCTTCCCCAGAGGCCCAAGTTACAGGGCTGTTTTAGTAAGTGTTCACTGCAGGTCCTTACCGAGAGAGGCTAGTTCTTGTGAACTCTGGTTTAAGCCTCTAGACCCCTTTCTTACCAAATTTTAGGCCTCTTGAAAGATTTAAGGTACAGATTTGGTGTGAACTGATGGATTATTTACATTGTTGGAGCTACTCATAACTTTCTAAAATAAGCATAATTGTTTAGGAAGAGAAGAGATTTGGCAAATAATAGGGAAGCTCTGCAGTATAACTCCATTTCTTGAGTCTTCTGCACACCCAGGAAGGAGCTGATTGGGGTCCAAGGTCGTTTGGCTTGGCCTTCGGAAGGGTCCTAATTGTCATGGGTGCCATTTTTTAATATAAGAAAGGCCAGCCCTGTCTTCCCTGCACTGCTTTCAACAAGCAAAAAGGTAACAGTCCTGCAGCTCACACCACAAAGCATGAGTCAAACTGCACTAGAGGGTGGTGTGGGGCATTTTACTTTTGAATACTAGACACTTTAATGAATGCAAAAGTATTTTGTATACTTCCTTGGAATTTTGGATTTAAGCCTGCATCTTCTCCCTACAGGGCTTCTCAGGTGTCTCAGTAGTAAAGAATCCACCTGCCAATGCAGGAGATCCAGGTTCAATCCTTGGGCTGGGACGATCTCTTGGAGGAGGAAATGGCAGCCCACTCCAGTATTTTTGCATGGAGAATCCCATAGACAGTGAAGCCTGGTGGACTACAGTCCACAGGGTCACAAAGAGTCGGACATGACTGAGCATGCATGTGTGGCTATCTCCCTGCCAAAGATAAATCTATTTAGAATGTAAAAGCAGACTTGCTTTAAAAGGTAATGTTTATGGAAAATTAATGCACATTAAAGATTGAGTAGATAACAAATGACTAAAACGTAGCAACAAAACCTGTTTTAATTTTCCAAATACAGATACAGAAGTTTGCATGTTTTGCAAATATTGCTTCAAAGCAACATTTCTATATACAGCGCCTTCTGTTCTAACAGCGCGTAAACATAGATATGTATCCACAGTGCAATGTTGGCTCATCAAGGGTCCACGTTGCATACACTCATCACTTGAAACAAAATGATTAGTCAAACCAGAACTGTTTTTATCAAGGCAATTTTTCTTTTTTATAGGTGGATAGTTTTTCTCAAAAGAAAACTTAGGTAGTGTACATATTTCTAAATGGTAACAGTAATATTTGCAAAGAACAGTTTCCAGTGCTCCAGCTTGGGGTTAATTCAGCTTGACCAAGGAATTGGGGATAGAGCCCCTCAACATGGCTTTAAATTAGGGAAGCACACTGAAGTCATCAGAACTTCGGAGTCATCCCCGCTTCCCAAAGGACAAAAGTCACAATCAATGAAAAGGGATTATTTCCTTTACAAAAAGCATAAAATAAACCCAATAATGACCACTTGGTAAAGTTAGGGTAACTCAGTTTCTTCTTCCATCTTGAAAAAGATGTGAGATTTGACCACTGTTAACAGCTTCCCCAGAAGTGATGGTCAAATGTGTTTTCAGGAAAGAAAAATCAGTAATTTAATAATATTAATACTAGTCACTGTACCTCACAGTTGTGGCTACAGAAAATCATCCTGTTTCTTCCCTTTGCGGACAAGCATCACACAGTTCTTAAAATGTGGCCACCTGATAAATTACACAAAATACAGACAGATGCCATGCACACTCCTTGAGCATTTCTTCCCACACCAAAAGTACTAACGTTAGCAATGGGAAGCAACCTCATAGAGGAATTGTGTCAGCTTTATCACAGATGTCGTAGCCACATGTATTCTCTCTGATAGATAAGCTCCAGCAGGTCAACTTGCCCTATATTCATTTTATATCAAATGGTGAATTAAATCACTAGACAAAGCATTCCCTGAAACAGATCTTGGTACAGAGGCCCTTGTGACCACAATTACCTGTGCCGTAAAGCCTAACCATCCCGGAGGTCACCGGAGATCCTGTCATTGCTATTGAGATATTGGCTACTTCACGTTTACATAGTAAAGATTTGCAGCATATAACATTATAGATCCATAAACCCAGAATTAACTCATGAGTGTTAATGGACAGCTGTGCTTCGATTTTTGCCTTTAGTGATAGGAAAACTAAATGGTAAAATGGGTCATTCCTCAAAGCGTAGAACAGTTTCTTTAACTTTACCTAGTAAGGAAAAAACAAAACAATTACACGTGGAACCGTAACCTGCGAGAGTAACAAATATTATCTCCAAAGGTACAAACTGTACCTGGACCTTAAGCAGCATAATCACCTTGATCTCACAAAATAATACAAACAGGAAATTTAAAGTGTTAAAGTATATTAAAAACAATTCTGAAAATGCTGACTACTGAACATACACCCTTCAGGGAAGGAGAAAAGCGGCAGATGTAGAATCTGGTTTCTCTACAACAATATAAAATAAGGTCATCCCCCAAACCACATCTTTGTAGCAAATCTTTACAGTGAAAGAGTTCAAATTTGGGAGAACCATTTTGGGGACATTAAATAGAACTGATAAGCTGTCAACATTAAGAAGTGGGTAGAAAATGCTGTCCTTCGGGTTCCAGACCCTGTCTGCTTCCGTTTGGGATTCCTCCTAGATTCTTATGACAGGGAGATTCTACTTCTTCCACAGGCTGTATGGGTTCTGCAATGAAAGACACAACCCAGCCAATTCTGGGGTGAACCCCGGTACCATGAAGTCATGCAAAAGAGGTGGTGAGAAAGTGAAGAGTTCTAGGGAGAAGGCAGGCCGGCCCAGGCCTCTACTCCTTCCCAACCTCCACACAAGGGTGAAGTCACGATATTCCCACGAAGTTGGAAAAATGAAAATGATGCCTGCTGCCTAAATTCATGCCAGGCAGAAACCCAGAAGGCTTGGCATATGCCCCAACCTGACATAGAAGTCAATTAAATAAGCTGCAAGTAGAATTTACAACTGTTTCCGACTACACTTTTTTGGCTCTCATTCCATTTATCATCAGTGGCACGATTTCAAGTGAAGTTTGTGCAAAAAGACTCACTCTCCATTCAACAATGTGCACAGAAGAAGGGAATCCCAAGAGTCTATCCGCTACCTTCCTGGTAGGCTTCGAGATCAGAGTGCCCTCCCTTCCAGCAGCCAAAATGGCCTCTTTGTTCAAGTCCATCACACCCCTGCCCAGATCCCTGAAGTCAGTCGGTGTCACGTGCATTCGGCATGCTAGGTTTATTTATTTAAATACGTGAAGCTCCTCCTGCAGGTGCCCCAGGATTGTGCCCCCATTAGTCTGGGGTGCCCAGTTTCATGTTGAGCAGCAGAGTGCGATCTGCTGCACCTTGCCCAGGTCCGTCAGCAGCTGCTTGATGCAATGCTTGAGCTGCGGAAGCCTGGCCAGAGGCTCTGGGGGCTCCAGTTCCCCAGTGTAGTCCAGCCAGCTCTCCAACACTGTGGGCAGAAGAGAGACAGGACCTGGTGAGTTTCCAACACTTGATTTGCAAGAATGTCAGCACTTCATCTCATCTGACCACTAACCGGGGGGTGGGGGAGTGGCAGGGAGGGGAGACCATTTCAGGCAACACTGACTCATCACCCGCTCTGGGAAGTACTACTCCTCGGACAAAGTTAAATGCTGCAGAGCAGTGCTGTCTAATAGAAGTTTCTGTGATGATGGAAATGGGCTATGTCTGTGTTGTCTAATACCGCCACTACCCATATGTAGCTACTGAGCATTTAAAACATGGCAAATGCAACTGAGAAACTGGGTTTAAATTTTATTCCATTTTAATTAGCCACACATAGCTAATGACTATTGCGTTAGTCTATAGTCTAGTAGGCTTTGAAATACCCACCTTTCTCAGTGTTACTGCCCCACTTTCATAGTGAAAGTGAAAGTGAAGTCGCTCAGTCGTGTCCAACTCTTTGCGACCCCATAGACTGCAGTCCACCATAGACTGTAGCCTACCATGGACTGTAGCCTACAAGCTTCTCCATCCATGGGATTTTCCAGGCAAGAGTACCTTCAAAGGCTTTCTCATACTGAAAATCAGAGAGCCTGGTGTGTTAGCCTTCTGTTAAGAAAAGTGACTCTAACAGGACTTGAAAAGGTGTATTTTTATCTCCATAAATTGATGTGTTTCATATTGATTCCTAGCATGAGTAGCACTAAATACTCTGATTTCATTTCCTAAATATTTAATGTAAGATGACTAGGTAATAAGTTTCCCAGGTGGTGCAGTGGTAAAGAATCCACCTGCCAGTGCAGGAGACAAAGGAGATACAGGTTTGATCTTTGGGTCAGGCAGATCACCTGGAGGAGGAAATAGCAACTGACTCCACTATGCTTGCGTGGGAAATCCCATGGACAGAGGATCCTGGTGGGCTACAGTCCATGGGGTCACAAAGAGCTGGACACTACTGAACACAACCAGGTAATAACAAACTTGATTATCATTAGCTCAATATCTAAAAAGCTGTCTTGCTTCTGTGAGCATGATTTTTCTATAGAAAGATATTTATTCTTTCCCAAGCCACTCCCTTAAGCTCTGGCATTTGGGGAGAGGTCATCCAGGAACCCTGATTCTTTAACAAAAGCCACCCCCAGCCTGCCTGTAGTCTTTCTAGTCTGTGCAC